TTTCCCTTATAGGCTCTGTTATGTTGATTGAATTATTGTATTATATTCCATTAGCACCCCTAATGGTGACAAAAAACGAAGAGCAAAAGGTAAGTCTGAAGTGTTAATGGATGAAGTATGTATCTTCACTTGACAGCTGGCACTCCCAGTTCAAGCCAAACTGTCCTACAGTTCACTATATGACTCCCAACACTGGAAGACTGATGGCATCTCACAAAAAATACATCTAGTAACCTCATCCATCTGTTCTGGATACCCAGGGTCATCTCAAATAGCACTAGGCACCTGTGGTTGGGCAGGTCATGCAACAAAAATTCCCTGCATAAAAAGCAGTTGATTCAGAGTAAATAACAAGACAGAAGAGGCTTCAGGAAGCCCAAACAGAAGCCAAATCATCCTAGATAAAGAGTTTTTCCTACAAGCTTCAGAATGGTTTCCAGACTAGCATTCATTCTTCCATATGCTAGAAGATCCTAACCGAAATCCCATAGAAATCAATGAGATAGTATTCCATGGAACAGGGAATGAGTCTTCAAATTGGAAATGTGTGAAAAATGTGTTACCAGTTTTCTTACACAATCAAATAAAAAAAAATTCTAAAGTCTAAAGAATAAGACAAATATTAAGGCATAAGCAAATTATGGGAGAAACTTACACAATATTCTTCAGGGATTTCGAAGATAATATGTCTAGCCAACTGTTAATTCTGTAAGATTGAAAGGAATGTGTAGTATACTACAAAAATATGAAGTGATAATCTGAAAAAGACATTTAAAATAGCAAATCAGATACTTACAAATCCGTACTCCAAGTCCCAGCACCAGCAGTAATTGAAAAACCTAACAAAGACAGCTCTCAAGAAATCACCAATTAGAATTGTGATGTATGTTGTCATCGTGTCAGAGACTGTCAGCCGCACAAATTCCTGTTAGAGTAATATTTTCTATTAAGATTATATTTAGAGCAATTAATAATTACCATCATAATGAAATACTGCTTTAGATCCCTAATTGTGCTTACTCTACTTCGACATGGAAAAGTCTCTTCCTCTCCGTTCACTAATTCTGAAAAATGCCAGGAGAAAAACTGCCCCTCGTTTTCTAGAGATATCCTTTGCTCTGACATGTGCTCATATTATCAGAGGAGACATCCAGGGCATGATTAGCCTGGGAAGAGCCGTCAGACAAGACTGCTGCTATAACAGAAATCTGAGTGATATCTTTTCATCCCTTTGACTTTGGGAAGATTAAAAAAAAAAAGCGAATGGCTTGCTTTCTCAAGAAGCACCAACTCCCAGTGAATACGGAGAGGAAAGAAGAAAATCCTAATGGAAATCCTCATTCTGCTGCCTTTATTTTAGTAAGTGCCACTAAACAGTACTGTAACAAGCCTTACCCCAATAGCCCAAAAGGCTATTACTCTCCCTGATCTGAAATTAAGGAGAAAAGTAATGCAGTGGTGAGCTCTTGGTGTTCTTAGCTTATTATTCATGATCAGCGAAAAGAATAGAGGGGCTGTTTTTCCTGCCTGTCTGGTCCCTGATGGTGATTTATTCAGCCAGGAGTGGAGATAACCAGATGGTGAGATTGTCAGATTGATGGAGAAACAGCAATTCAGTTGTGAACCCATTCTCATGCACAAGATAACAATGGGATATGATCAAATAGAGGAAAGGGGGATGTTAGAAAATTCTTTGGAAATGACATTTTATATTAATAGGTCAATAAGAATAAATGTGCAACTGAATCAAATAAAACGATTGAGCAGATTTACCATTAAAACACTACTGTTCTTTTGCATTACGTTACTTGGTTAAAGGTAAAATATGCCTTCTCAAAAGCACACTACTGTAAGAGCTATTTTACATGTATTTCTTTGTTTAGCTACTCTGTTGTTTTTGTTTTTTTTTTTCTATAGGTCTGTTGTAGTCAGGAACTGATTTTGCCTGATCAAAATACTAATCAGAATTACCACATTTATTAGGGGCTGGAACGAATCCAACTTTTCGTAACTGCTAAACAGGTTTTGCAAGACAAAGATGAGATGAGGAAGAGGAAGGTAAATTAAGGGAATAGTGAAAAAAGGGGAAAAAAAAGAACTGTTTTCAATGCGGTCAACTGCCAGAAGAAGGAATTCCCTACTAGATGGGGTCCAAAGAAACTCAGATAATTTTTTCTCAACTTTTTAGCTCGGGAAAAAGTCCCACATCTGCTTTTTCTTCCTCACATTTTCCCACCTTAATATCATTTATTAGCAGAAATAAAGAGGGTTTAGATATGATATCTTGTATTTTCAAATATGAGCTTAAAGCAATTACATTACCTGTCCTACCATTGTTTCCCAGCATGGCCCCCTGGGGACATCTGCAGGGTCCACCTGTATTGGAGGAGCAGTTGAATTTTCTGGAATACTACCATTGTACAGACTGGCTTCCCATATTGTCATGTTATACTTGACTATCTTTTCTTCTTCCAGCTAAATAAAGAAATAAATTGTGGAAAAAAAACAAACAAACAACATGAACTCGTTACCAGCTCTTAACCTTTTCTGCTCCAAGACTCCCATTACCAGCTCAGGCATGGATATGATTTTTACAGTACAGAAAGAAAAGAACATCTTTCACTGACATGTCTCTGACTGGCTGGAAATCCTCATCCTTGTCCAGCAACATATTAAAAATAATGAAGGAAAATAAATAGCTTGCCTTGAGATTGATTTCATCCATTAGGGCGATAATGAAAGTGTAGAGATTGCCAAGAAAAAGAGCAAAGATTCGTCCCAGCTGCCATCTTAGAGCTATTCGAGGGTGGTAGTTTTCCAGAGAACTAATTACATCAAATAAAGTTGGACAGAACATTCCTAAAAGTGACATAACCATGTTCACCTGAGAGGTGGGAAAAAGAAAAAAAAAATACAGTGAAATGTTGACAGCAAGTTCTTTTATTATTACTGATTTGGTTAGAGGGTGTATTCCCATAACTACTTTTTATTTGTTTTTTGATTTAATAAAAAAACAAATCCACTCTGGGAGTCACAAGATGTTTTTGCAATGGAAGAAGGGGATGAAAAGTCAGTTGTAATCTACTGCAGATGGATATATGAGATCTTTTTTCATTTTACATTTCACTTAAACCTCCAAAATCAAATTTTAGATTTCTGACTAGAACCTACATTTTAAACAAAATTCTACTATCAGATGACTCAGTAAAACCTACTTCCAGTACTATATTTTGTTATGTCTCTACCGTATCTTCCCAATAGACACATAGATGTTCTATAAAAAGCATTCCTACAAAAGGACTGCACTAAATTAAGTTTATCTAAGATCTCACCTGAAGTTAATTATGGATGTCACAGAATCACAGAATCATAGAATCACAGAATCACAGAATATCTCAAGTTGGAAGGGACCCATAAGGATCAAGTCCCACTCGCTACTTGTCACAGGAGTACCTGACACTAAATCACATGACTAAGAGCATCATCCAGATGCTCCTTGAACTCTGACAGGCTTGGTGCCATGATTGGTGCCCAGTTCCCTGGGGAGCCTATTCCAGAGATCGACCACCATCTCAGTGAAGAACCTTTTTCTAATGTCCAGCCTGAACTTCCCCTGACAGCTTCATTCCATTTCCTCGTATCCTATTGCTGGTCACCAGAGAGAGGAGATCAGCACCTCCCCCTGCGCTGCCCTCCTTGAGGAAGTTGTAGACTGGGATGAGGTCACCAGTCAGCCTTCTCTTCTCCAAGCTGAACAAGTCAAGTGACCTCAGCTGCTCCTTGTAAGTTTTGCCCTTGAGACATTTCATCATCTTGGTCACCTTCCTCTGGACACACTCTCGTAGTTTGATGTCTGTATTGATGCACACAGTACTAGAGGTGGGGCTGCACCAGTGCAGTGTAGAGTGGGACAGTTGTCTCTCTCAACCAACTAGCTATGCTTTGCTTGATGCACCCCAGGACACGGTTGGCCCTTTTGGCTGCCCCAGCATGCTGTTGACTCATATTCAACTTGCCATCAACCCAAAGCTCCAGATCTCTTTCTGTGGGGCTGCTCTTCAGCCTCTTGTCCCCTGATTTCTATGTATAACCAGAATTGTCCTGTCCCAGGTGCAGAATCCAGCACTTGCTTTTGTTTTCATACGGTTGATGATTGCCTGAGTTCTCTAGTCTATCTCAGATCTCATGTCATCACTGCATAAGCAAATTCAAATGAACCCTGTGTCTTTCTGCCTGATTTTCTTAGAAACCTTTAATAAGATTAACTCATCATCTTAGCAGTATAGAAATGGAACAATTTACTGAAAGCAAACTGAAACAAACAGATAACTAGCTTTTATAGAAATTTTGTAATACAGCATAGCTTATAAATTCTACAGACAAGTGAGGCATTCTAGTAATGTAATGTAACATTCCTAAGTGATGCTGGAAATTATTCCAAGTCTGCTTGAACCTTTTGGTTCCAGTTCATTATGTCAGCCAAAAATGAAAATAACTGAAAAAGTTTAAGAGTGCAATTATTAATTCCAATTTAAAATAAATTTCAATCACAAAAAATTGTGATACTGAAAACAACAAATAAGAAATAGAAAATGTCTCAATCTAAGTCACAAAGGTTGTTAGAAAACACAAAGGTGTTTATTTGAGATGAATCATATTAAAACAATTAAGTAAAAATAATTTATTTAGTCACAAAATAACCTAATTGTTCACAGAGCTCTAGTCTTTCAGTTGCTCTGAAACTAGTATTTCTCAGCCATGCTGGAAATCATTTTGCTAGAACTATTGTAAATTTCAACACAGTAGTAACTTCCTGCTGCTAGGACAGGACTGCTCTTGCATGTCAGAAATAATGTGGCAGCAGAAAGGCACTATGCCAAAAAATAAATTCACTCACTTACAAACATATATGTTTCCACTCCTAAAAAGTTTCATCCATAAGACTTGTGTTTTCAATGAAAAGAAATAAATGGCTTGCTTTTTGTTGTGTTTCTATTCTTGGTTTTTAATGAGTTTTAGAGCTAATTACTTGATTTTCACATTTGTAGTCAATCAGTAGTGCATTCTGTGCATAGCTTGTAGCACCGAGTAAGAAATATATAGATTTTTTTTAATGATTACAAGAATTTACTGATGTTTCCTATGTATTTAGATAGGATATTTGTAACTGGGATTACCTTGTTAAAATAACAAGTCCCTGTTACCTCATAATGCTCAATGAAGAAATAACTGACCAAAAACTTGTAGCTGTCATCTCTTACAGCACTTGGGTTTATAACTGAAAATGGCAGAATTTCTACTGGAATCTCCTGTCACCTTCTACCTTACTATATTAACAGCTGTGTTGGGTTTCATACATTAATGCTTTGAAAATATTTTCCCTTGAAAATTGTAGACATTCCTATTTTTGGTACTTCTAGAAGGTGATGAGATGTTTGTGACCAAAATATTTTTTATTTTTTCTTCATAATGAACTGTGTAAACTTTTTTATTTTAAAGTATTTAGAGTATCTAACATAGTTTATAACATATATTATCTCAGTCACCATTAAACCAAAGACTTTATGCTCAATATATCCCAAGATGGCAAAGCTTCAGGAGTCAACTACAGTCAACACAACTAATCATGAATTCTTAAAATTCAAACTTATTGTGCCAAGCTGTATATCCTGTTTATCAATAGAAATGTTTAGTCCTGTTGTGATTCCGCTGAATCTCAAATCAGAATCCTCACTGGCTCTGGTGTCTCATATCCTCCTGTGGCAACAAGTTCCAGCGGCAAATGTATGCGTAAGAGAAGTCCTGGGTCACACCGAAGGTTGGCCTAGTCCAACAGATGCTCAGGGATGAGCAAGAACAGGGCAAATACATATGAATAGTAAGTCTTAGACTCCAGCTATATTCAGTTTGGGTACTTTTCAGTCAGATGGTTTTTCATATATTTAGTAACCTCCAAAGAATATCTCTTCCATGCCTTAGATCACTATTCATTCTGATGGATGTAAATTTTGGCATTCATAGCACTGGTACGCACCATCTATCATTCCTTCCCTTTTGCTTTTTCTGAACATGACTTCTACCCAATTAATTTGATATCCCTTAGTTCTCATACTGGAGAACATAGTAAATATGTATTTTGGAAGAAAAGATACGTCCTTTGTGCAGTTTTATAATATAGTATCTGTTAACTTTATTCAAAGTTTGCTTGTTACTGCATGGAAGAGGCAGGACAGAAGTCACTGCTTTTCTTTCTCTTGAACATTTGATATTTTCTATATTTTTATTATATTCTGCCTTTTTTATCACTTATCTGAAGCAAGCATATTCTTTCTCATTTGCTTTCTGTCTGCATTTTTCCATGTCTTGACTATTCATGCTCCCCATCTCACGAGCATTTCTAATTCTGGAGAAAAAAAGATATTAAGATATGAGGTGAAATGAAGCACAGAAACTTGTAAAGGTGAAAATTGAGAAATTATTGTAACAAAGAATGTAAAGTTTTACTGAGACAAAATGTAGCACACTGAATTTTCAAAATCAAAAAACTATGACGGGTTCTGTATTTCAGAAGTATAAACTTCTCTTGTATAGTTTCATAGATATCTTATAATTATACTTTTTAGTTTCTGGTGAAAGATTTTGCTGAACACAGAAATTGTCCATTGAATCATCCATTTAATTTTAGTCACTTTAATCTACATTGATTTCAGAAAGTGTCTGATTTATATTCTGGACTCCTTACCAACTTGAGGGTCGGGTGCTGGAGCAGGTTTTTTTCCACTTTTTTTATCAGTGACAGTTTCACTGCCCTGTAAGACTTAAAAATTGTGCAGTTACAAGCCAGAAGAGAGGTAGCATGCCAGCATGCATACATGGTACAGTTATGGTTCATAGCCAATGTGGTCTTATAGTCACTATCTGCTGAGTGAATCTCAAAAGTCTTCTCTGCACTACTGAGATAGAAATTTCATTAAGTAAGGAACAGCAACAAAGAGATACCCACTAATTATTAAAAGTCTGGTTCAAAACAGGTTTTTTTCTCCAGATACCAAGTCCCTGCATGACATTTTGAAAGCTAAAAAATTACTGCTTACACAAATCTTTTCAGCTGCTTACAAATCTGGTAAGAAATCCTGTGACTGCAATCACAGCTAATCACACCAGACCCCAGCATACTGAATTGTGCCAACACAACATTAAATGTAGAACATGACCATTTTGTTGGTTAAATTATAAGTTCATTAAGAGTAAGTAGTCTAGTGAAAATAAATCATATCTTCCACTAATAATGATTGCAATAGTCATAGATTTATCTAGCATCTCTTGCAGAAAGAACTAATAAAGACCTATATTTCTAGCAAATAGAGTTTCATTTTTTAAAAAGAAATTAAAATTAGAAATTATATTTCATAATAATAAAAGTTGCCTGATGTTTTCTAGAATTAATCAGAGCATTGACAACATGGCTTAATAACTTCATCATAAATATACTCCATATCCACTACTATGAACATTAAAGAGCAGGATATTTTTGGCAAAAGATCTATGTGGTTTTGTCAGCTTGCAATATCTGAAATGTTAAAGCTATACTTCCTTGTTACTGGAAAAAAAAATCATGCGTAAAACATCTCCTCTTTGCCCAAATGTTGTTAATTATTCTGATTCAGAGAAATCAGTCTGTCTCCTCGTAAGTCGTCTTCTCTGCTTTTGAGTAGCTTTATTTTTAAACAGTACAGGACTATACCTGAGTAAACACAGTACCTCAGTGCCAGCGAGATGCTCATACTAACTCCTAGCTCTGCAAACTATCTTCAATCAAATAAGAAAAGTTAAATTTGTTCAGCAATTTTTATCCAAATTCAGAACGCTTTACCAAAGTAATTA